AAAAAAAAAACTTAAAAAAAAAAAAAAAAAAAGAAAGAAAATAAGAAATTTAAATAGATGAATATATAATTAATTATTTATTTATTCTTCAATAAAAATGAAAAAAATGAAAATTTTCTAAAATAAAAAAAAATAAGTTAATAATAAATGATGTAAAAAAGAGCAAAAACAAAAAATATTTTTTTTAAATAAATCTATAAAAATAATTTACAATGTTAATCGAAAAATATTTACAAAAAAAAACAAGAAAAATTTTTCTGATTGAACAATTTTTAAAATTAAAAAAATAAAAGAATATACCTACAACTCCAATTGTCCATTAAAAAATTTGAAATATATTTTTTTGGTTCAAACCAATCAATACCTAATAAACAACACTCTTCAATCCCAAGAAAAACCCCCAAAATACTATAATATTCATTGTATCTATTATAAATACTAGTAGAAAAATTTGTTGTTGTTGTTATTATTATCATTATTAAACATTTTTCCAGAACCATATTTAGAATTTGATCCGTATCCGTTCATATTATTTGTAAAGCGACTGGAATTTGATCCAAAACCGCCTCCACCTATTTGGTTTTGAACAAAATTTCCCATTGATGATGATGCTGGTGATGATAATGGTGGTGGTAGCGGTGAGTTAGCATAGCCAGTTGGTAAAGCAACATTATATCCATTTGATATCAATTCATTGTAAGCGTGTTGTGGCATTGGCTGTATTTGTGGTGGTGGTATTCCATGATATCTAGTTGGAATTGGGCCGGAAAATTCATTTGGAGACGATTCATTAAATTTGCTACCTAACATATTATAACCATCAGACGAATGATGATGATGATGATGATGATAACGATTGTTATTATTGTTGTTACTATTGTTATAGCCTCCAGGCGAAGGATATATTCCAGGCGAGCCGTAAGTTATGGGTGTATTATAATGAGCTGTTGGACCATATCTTAAAGGAGTATCATATCCAGTTGGTGAGGCAAATCCACTATTAGAACCATAACCATATTCACAATAAGATGTTTCTGGTGCAGAATAACTGCCAGAATCAGATAAAGAGCTATAATATTCATAGTCCGAAGATGGCGAATTAGTAAACCTTTTGTTACGACGTCCAACAGGTGATTGGAGTCCAAGTTCTCTCATTATTCTTTCTTCACGTTCTCTTTCTTCTGAGAGCATCATTTCAACTTCAGTTACATCAACAGTACTGTTCAATGCTGCTGTGCCTTGAGATATCATATCTGACAACTTTTCATTAACTTTAAGCAACAACTCGTCTTGATCCATAGGTCCTCCGCGCCCATTATTTGTTCTTTGTGTACTTTGAAGTTCAACACTGCCACTACTAGTTCCAACACTATAGATATCAGATTCTTTGGTGTTCTTTT